AATCAAGACTCCTACAAAAGCTGTCACATTTATTTCTCCCCTAACCAACTAAATTCATTTTTTTTGGGTTACTATATGATATATACCTCGTCTATAAAACCCCATGTTCACACTATTATAAATGACAAAAATAGTGTACGCGATTAATTTATTCTTGCTAATACTGAGATCTACTCCCGTGAACAATTGGCATTCATTACTTCTGTCAGGATTTTTTAAAAATAAGGCAGTATATATATCTATCTTTTGTTGGCATTAATCTTTCTTTTTTTGAGAACCCAAGTTGTTAATCTTGCTTTGAAAAAAATACATGTACATACTATATCACCTACTACATGTTTCATGCATTTTTTTTTGTGCATTGATATTTTAAAAAGGTATTGTTCATTCTACAGTAGTCTTTGTATATACATTTAAACTATTTATAAGAATTCTCGTTTTTTTTTTCTATTTTCTTTTTCAATTGTTGTTGAACTAATACTTCCAGCAGACAGTTTTTCACTCCAAACACATGCACTAATAATTACTAGGTAGATCCGAGTCCAATGCATTATTGCATATATATTATCTATGTTTTATGAAGAAAAAAAATATACCATGTCGATGTCCTTTTCCAAAATTAATTATCTTTCACATCACTAACCATGCATACGGCTGAGTACAGTACATTACGAATTCGTTAAATTTACTCCAAAAAACGTACAATTTTAACTGTTCGATAACTTATCCATAAATCCTTTAGATATATATATTTTTTTAATTTTGATTATAAAGTAAGGAAAATGTTTATTAATCACTTTGGACAGTACCCCCATGTGGTCGTAACTCGTAACAGAGCAATTTATACGCTTAATACGGTAAAAAGAAAAAGAAAAAACGGTATCCGTTAAAACGGACGGACTTGATCGTCGTTATCCAACGGTGATTATTTGTTTGTCCTTATTTAACGGTTATCTTTAACGTCGTTTCCTTCAGGAATCTTAGCCAGAGAAGAGAACCTAATCTCACCGACACACGTCTATGAAAAAAGTCTAAAAATATATATGTAGTATTTATCATCAACCATGTGCACATGCTCTGATGTGATTTTGATTTTTTTCCTTTCTTTCAAATAATTTATTTAAATTCCATTGTGAGATCCAGTTGAGAAAAAATGAAATTAAAGTCGAATCTTACTAAACCGGATATGATTTGACAGGAGTGTGAGAAACCATACCGAGAGGAGGAAACTAGGTTACTTTACTTGCGGAACAGGCAACCCTATCGACGATTGTTGGCGATGCGATCGCAATTGGCACAAGAACCGCAAACGCCTAGCGGATTGCGGAATCGGATTTGGAAGAAACGCTATTGGTGGTCGTGATGGTCGTTTCTACGTAGTCACTGACCCAAGAGACGACAATCCGGTTAACCCTAGACCTGGGACATTACGTCACGCCGTGATCCAAGACCGACCACTATGGATCGTTTTCAAACGTGATATGGTGATTCAATTAAAACAAGAGCTTATCGTTAACAGCTTCAAAACGATCGATGGACGTGGCGCTAACGTTCACATCGCTAACGGTGGTTGCATCACGATTCAGTTTGTGACGAATGTGATCGTTCACGGATTGCATATTCATGACTGTAGACCGACCGGTAACGCTATGGTGAGAAGCTCAGAGACGCACTTTGGATGGAGGACGATGGCCGATGGTGACGCGATTTCTATCTTTGGATCGAGTCATGTATGGATTGATCATAATTCATTGTCTCATTGCGCTGATGGGCTCGTGGACGCAGTCATGGGCTCAACCGCGATTACCATCTCAAACAACCACTTAACTCACCACAACGAGGTTCTTTTCAAGACTTATTGCTTCATTAGTAGTTAATCATATATAGCTTCTTTTTTTTCGGCTGAATTCGGTTTTTGATGATATGATATGATCTTTTTTCTTTACAGGTTATGTTGCTCGGACATAGTGATTCTTACATGAGGGACAAAGCTATGCAAGTTACCATTGCTTATAATCATTTTGGAGTGGGACTTATTCAAAGAATGCCGAGGTATATATAAAACACATTACGAAAACAGAGTATGCTCTGCTTTTGTGTTCTGTTTCTTGAATGTTATCTGTTAATGTGCTTATGTTTTCTGAACAATGCGATTACCTTTTCTTGCAGGTGTCGACACGGGTACTTCCATGTCGTGAACAACGACTACACTCACTGGGAAATGTACGCCATAGGTGGTAGCGCAAACCCGACAATCAACAGTCAAGGAAACCGTTACGCAGCCCCGAAAAACCCCTTTGCTAAAGAGGTAATAACTCAACCAAAATCAGCTAGACCTTGGAGTGGTTTTTTGAATGTTAGTTTGTGACTTCTGTGATGTTTGTATGTTGTTTTTAATAGGTGACTAAGAGAGTGGACACACCGGCAAGTCACTGGAAAGGATGGAATTGGAGATCGGAAGGAGATTTGCTTCAAAACGGTGCTTACTTCACTTCTTCAGGAGCCGCCGCGTCCGGCAGCTATGCACGTGCCTCCAGCCTCTCCGCAAAATCTTCGTCATTGGTCGGACACATTACTTCCGACGCTGGAGCTCTACCTTGTCGCAGAGGACGTCAATGTTCCTCATAGTTACCACCCCACAACCAAAATTCAAAACTACCTTCCATTATATAGACAAAAGTGTACATTTTCACACATTTGTCATTTAAAAAGCCAATTATCTTTTTTTTTTGTTCGGTGTGTGTGTTTGTGTCGATTTTTCTCAACCTCGGGTTTGCTTGCTTCAACCGCAAGTTAACACAAGAAAAGGGAAAAAAACCCCAACCTTTCATGACAAAAAGAGAAATCCCCGAAGTGTTGTTGGTTGTTTGGTTCTATCTGATCAATTCAGATTGTTCTTCGTCTGTCTCCGTCTTCTACCCGGAGAAACAAGACTATTATCTCTTGTTTTTTTTTCTTCTTGTAATTTTTGAGATTTATAATTTAATATAGGGTCTAAATGATTTGTGAATCTTTTTACTTTTCATTGTATTATAAATGTTGGCTGGATTTTTAGCTTTAATTTCCCATGTGGTTGTAACTTGTCATGATTGTACTTTGTAGCGATTGAAGCAAGCAATAGTAGTAATTGGGTGTTTATTAAAATTTTACATTAAATTTATTTAAATTCCAAGGATAAAATCTTAATTGCGACAAATTCGAATAGCCAGCTATTTTATCACCCACAATTGTTTTCAATATGCTTTCCTTATCATGTGTAACTTTTAAAAAAGTAAACAAATATATTAACTATAAAAATATTAATTTTATTATTAGTATTTTTGGTGTGAGAAGTCCATAATCTAAAAAGGTCTAGTATTAAATCGAATTGGTCATGTATTTTTCTTAAAAGCATATCTTTTTTGTTGGGAAGAAAAATTAGCATATCTATTTTTATTTGGCTTTTTGCATTGGAAAGTAGATAGTACGTTAACATAAAAAGCAAGAGAAGCCTAAAACCCGCTAAATCGACTCCATGTGCCCACACATGACAAAAGAGTTCGAAATCCACAAGTAAAATGTTCCGACAAATAATGATAACCTTTTATTTCCACCATCATTAGGGTTTTAATTCAGACTAATTATGTGATTATCTATAAAAAGATTACATTTTCACAACTCTGTAAACCATAAATATTGATTCAATCTATATATACATTTTTGGATGACTTTTAGCAAATAAATCTTGGAGTTGGAATATATTTACGGATGAATGCCATTGGCATTAATTATTTAAATTTGAAAAATATTAATTAAAGATATTACCAACACGATTTCGAGAATCATAAATTCATATCTTCCTTAATTTTCTGAGTCATTAATGTGATAATCTTTAGGAAATATTTCTCTGTAAAAAAAAAAATCCACATTAATGAAGGCATTAAAATCGACACTAACAATTAAATTATTTAGATGATGACAAAAAAAAAAAAAAATAAAAATAAATTATTTAGATATTCAATTATTTTAAGATTCTTATATCTTATTTGATATTTTTTTTTAATATCTCATTCTTTAATTACTGCGTTTAGAATTTATTGGTTGTTACCTATTTTTTGGTGAAATTTATTGGTTGTTACTTAATAAGTAATTATGGTGCGTTTATTTTAGTTAATATCTAATTTAAAGGATTTGTTTTCTTTTATTATTAATAAACGAATAACATGTATAGAAATAAAAGATTTTTCTTGCGACTCCATAATAAAAATATTAAACTCTTATTTTCTACATTTCTTACACATAATATCCTCTTATTCAATAACAAAAAATATATATTGCATATTTTTAAAAATATTTATAATATTTAAATTATATAAAAAGTTTGTAATATTAATATTATTTCAACTCTATACAAATTTAATATATATGTATATATATCTTATGGGAACCATTTAAAAGAAATTTTTAAATTGACTTGAATTATATAGCTTTTAAATAAAAGTATTATTAAAAAGAAAAATAACTAAATGATGTTTAATTTTACGGGACGGGTAATATGATGGGACGGGTTTGGGTTGATATTTATAAAAGATAGTATACCACGGGTGAAATCCTAAAATTAACAATCAAAATAATCTATCAAACAAATTACATTTTGATTTTTTTAAGAAAATATAGCCCCGCGGTGTACCGCGGATTAAAATCTAGTATCACTTTTAAAATCAAATGATTTATACACTGGTGGATAACAAGTTTTACTATATTAAAAACATTTCTGTAATTACCTTTATGGCTTTACCCAACCAAATCAATTACATCAATCTCCATTCCTCCTCCAACCCGAAGCTCAATCATCTCTAAAGAGACTACACATAGTATCTCCCATTATTATGCTACAAAAGCTGAGACAAAGTCTCTACATGCATAGTCCAGAGCTTTTCCAATGGGGTTTTGTAACAGTTCAGAACTTTTTTGTTTGAGCTTTTCAGTTAAAAGAGAAGACTTTGTAACCATAGTAAAAAAATTCCAATTTTCATGTAGATTTATAATTTAATCTGATATATCATGAATTCATATAATTACCAAATCAAAACTTAAAATTTTCTGAATATATTACTTTATTGAGACGTACATAAATAATATCAAATATATAAGGGTAGATTGTAACTAATCACCACCAAGGATCTTGTTCTTGATGATATCGGTAGCGTTTTTAGCGGTGCCTAAAACACCAGAGACAGAACCTTTAGCTTTTTCAGTGATGGAATCCGTTGTCTCAGTGACTTTTTCAGTTACATCTTTTGTCATCTTAGTCACCTGATTGACCAAATCAATCAATCAGATATTATAAATGTGATAATATCATCAAATCACAATTACTATATAGATGATGGGGGTTAATCAGTTACACGGCCAGCAGTAGTGGAAGCGACATCTTGGATGTACTCAGTGGTTTCCTTCACTTGCTTGGCTCCTTCTTTCACTGCCTCTGCTGCTTCTTTCACCTTTTGGCATTGCTCTGCCTCTTCTTTTCCCTATTCCATTAACCAATTACAATATGAGTTTATTATACTAAATAACGTTGTGCTTGAGGACAATTTTCCATTGTTTCTTACCTGTAAGGGCCTCGGTGACGCTGAAACGAATGTCCTACATAGTGGAACACTCCTTGCCGTTTTACCATTAGAGATCAGAACTTTACCCAGTTTTGATGCATGCATCTTAATTAACTATTGTAGAATCAAAGCGTAGAAGACAAGTTATGAGATAATAGAAGGTTCGAGAGAATACTTAAACGTTTATTAAATCAGATCTTTTGATGAAACTCCTAAGGCGCAAACCCTAATTAAAAACTTTATTTTGTCTTATTATTTATAAATGAAAGTGTCAGATTTGTCCGGTTATGAGCATTTATAGGGTTCTTTGTGGTTTGTCTTTACAATACCCAAATTTCTCAAATCCCGATTGTTCGGCTATAGACTCGATCTTCGTTTTTGTTCCTAATCTCTTAATAATATCTTGTCTAACGTATATCATTATTTATGATAACAAAGAATTGACAAATACAATAATAGAATTCAAATGCTTTCGCTTGCTGACTGTAGAGCCTGATGTCACTAGCCAATTCCAATTTACGAAAAAAAGAAAAAAAAAAACTCGACCAATCAATTGTCCATGGTATAGTTGTATCATCAGACAGCCTTTAATTACCAAGTAAAAAATGTTATAAATTGGGTTCACAGCCAAATTTATGACTTTCAACTGTCACCAACCTTACATTTTGCTATAAAAACCCCAAGAAACTGATCATTACAAACATCAACATAAAAGACGATCAATATAATCTAGAAAAAAAGAGAGGCGAGAGGAGAGAAGAGAGAGAGATGTCGAGAGCTTTGTCAGTCGTTTGTGTCTTGCTCGCTATATCCTTCGTCTACGCACGTGCTCGTCAGGTGCCGGGAGAGTCTGATGAGGGAAAGACGACGGGACATGACGATACAACAACAATGCCCATGCATGCAAAAGCAGCTGATCAGTTACCACCAAAGAGCGTCGGCGACAAAAAATGCATCGGAGGAGTTGCTGGAGTAGGTGGATTCGCCGGAGTTGGTGGTGTTGCCGGCGTGGGAGGTCTAGGCATGCCACTCATCGGTGGTCTTGGCGGGATCGGTAAGTATGGTGGCATAGGCGGTGCAGCTGGAATCGGTGGATTTCATAGTATAGGCGGTGTTGGCGGTGTAGGAGGGGGTGTTGGAGGTCTAGGCGGTGTAGGAGGGGGTGTTGGCGGTCTAGGCGGTGTTGGCGGTCTAGGTGGAGCTGGTTTAGGCGGTGTAGGTGGTGTTGGCGGTGGTATTGGTAAAGCTGGTGGTATTGGCGGTTTAGGCGGAGCCGGAGGTGGTTTGGGTGGTCTAGGCGGAGTTGGTGGTGGAGGTCTCGGTAAGGCTGGCGGTATTGGTGTTGGTGGTGGTATCGGCGGTGGACACGGCGTGGTCGGTGGTGTGATCGATCCACATCCTTAATAGAGAGTATTTGTTGGTTAGGGTTTTCATTAAGAAATAATTAATTAGTTTCGATGTTATTGTTGGTCTTTTAATTCGGTGATCATTAGGGTGACTTTTGATCTATTTTCTAGTTTGGGCTTTTGTAACGTTTGCTTTGATTTCGGCCGTGGTGTTATGAAATGTGTGACCCTCTATGTTTAAATCGTTTCGGTTTATGAGGTTCTCTTCTTCCATACTTTTGCATGTTCAAAACCAAATGGTTAATTAAGAGAAATTATCAAGGTTTCCGAGGAGATATTTGTTGAAAATGAAATTAGTTTGAACTTTTATTAAAAACTTAAAATAGAAAACATCACGCAAAAATGGATATAAAAATAGATGGAGTACAAACCTTTTCCAAATCCACTATATGTATAATACATGTAAAACGTGTATAGATTTTATTTTTGTTGCACTGTGTCTAACTCTAAACAAATCGGATATCAAAGTTAGTATATAGTAAAAAAAAAAAAAATAATCAAACTTAGTAAGTATATAGTATCCAAGTGGTAAAATCAACACATGAGTTTGGTCAAGGGTATTAAGATCTCGACTAATAATTAAGAGACATGAGTTTTGGTTCAAAAAGTCCTTTGACTAATCATTAGAAAATAATTAATCTTGTTGTAAACTGTGTTGTTCTATTGATTAATGAATGAGGTTTCGATACATATATATACATGACAAGGGGAGACAAATCCCCATTGGGCTAGTAAACCCTAAAGCCCAAAAGCCCACTAAGTACAATATAGGCCGTCATAAGGAGAATCTTCAAGAACATGGACATGGGCCTTCTAGGATATGGATTAGGCCCACGGTTATGGAGTCCATCCAATATGTGATTTATAACACTCCCCCTTGGATGACATAACCGTGTAGATGTCAAAAGATCTCAGTAATACGCTTGGGGATGCTGCCTCATTAAAACCTTGCCAGGAAAACCCATTGGGACAAAACCATGGTTAAGGAAAAAGAGTACAGCACGTATTACTCCCCCTGTTTTGGTCATCCCTGCAAGTCCTTAAGTCTCCACATTCCAATTTGATGCGTGAGCCTCCTCAATGTCGATGTTGGTAATGCCTTGGTAAAGAGATCGGCTGAGTTGTCGCTGGACCGAACTTGTACCACTCGAACTTCTCCATCCCTTTGCAAGTCATGCATGAAGAAGAACTTTGTTAGAATGTGCTTCGTCCAATCTCCCTTGATGTAGCCGTCCTTGAGCTGAGCGATACAGGCTGTGTTGTCTCCTCATATGATGGTCTTTGATGTTGTAGTAGCTGCGCCTTGAAGAAGACTGCCTACGTACCCTTGGAAGGGATCAAGCCACACGTAGTTCCTATTTATTGACCATGCCATAATCTGATTTTACCTGCATTAGCAAAACAAACTAAACCAAAGCAAACTAGACCTTCTTTGGTTAGATCAGTATAGAATAAAACCCAAATAAACAAACATAGGAAGAATAAAATTTAAAATTTAACCAAACCTTCCTTCAAACCTTTCTAGTGCCTTTGGGTTGATCATGAACTAAATTTAGACAAAAGAGGTTCACGGCAAAACATATGTCTGGTCTAGTGTGGCTAGCCAAGTACATTAACGCTCCTATGGCACTAAGGTATGGCACTTCAGGATCGAGAACTTCTTCCTCATCCTTCTTTGGACCGAATGGATCACTATCCAATCCGAGGCTTCTCACCACCATTGGGCTGCTTAATGGGTGGGCCTGGTCCATATTGAATCTCTTGAGTACTTTTCAGTATATGCCTTTTGATGCACAAGGATTCCATTATTCACGTACTCAAGTTGCAATCCCAAACAGAATTTTGTCTTGCCTAGGTCTTTCATCTCGAATTCTTTCTTTAGATATTTGACTGTTTGGGCGATTTCCCCAGAGGTTCCAAGGATGTTCAAATCATCCACATATACTGCTATTATCACAAACCCTTCGTTTGCAAATTTCTTTATGAAGATACATGGACTGATGGGATCATTCTTATAACCTTCTCTGACTAGGTACTCGCTTAATCTATTGTACCACATGCGTCCACTTTGTTTCAGTCCATAAAGCGATTTGTTCAGCCTTATGCAGTATTGGTCTCGAGACCCTTTCTTATCTTTATCTTTGAGCTCAATACCCTCTGGTAATCTCATATATATCATCCAGTGGACTTATATAAATATGCAGGCATTACATCCATTAGCCGCAAATCAAGTCTTTTTCTTTATATAGCCAGACTTAGCAAAATTTAAATGTCTTAGCATCCACCACAGGGGAGTATGTTTCTTCATAATCTATCCCCGGTCTTTGTGAGAATCCTTGTGCTACAAGCCGTGCCTTATATCTCACGATTTCATTATTCTCATTTCTCTTCTTCACAAAGACCCATTTGTGTCCTACTGGTTTTTACATCGAATGGTGTCCTTAAGGTCGGACCAAACTCATTCCTTTTCTTAATGATTCTTAGCTCCACGTTTTATGGTCTTGTACCATTTAATCAATCAAGTCTTTGAGTGCACTCTAGTATAGACGTGGGCTCCTGATCCTCATTTATATTCATAAATTCAAGTGCTACCTTGCATGCAAAATCATCTTATGTCGACATTTCTTATATGTTCCATTATGTTCCAGACATGATATAATCGATTTGAGATTTATTATGGTCAGGACCTTTAATACTTTGCAGCTTGGCGTCCCAAGCTACATTATATGGTACCTATACCTTAGAGCCGGCCGGCCTTATCTCCATGTCTGGGATGGTTTCCTTAGTAACCTCGGATTCCTATTGCACCTTTCTTTGATTTTCGAGGATTTTTATCTTTGGAACCTATTGGTCTACCACGTTTCTTTCGTGTGTTAGACTCGGTAGCAATTTCATTGATTCCCTTTTGGATATCAATACGTACTGGTGCATTACAAGCTGGTATGTACGTTTTTGTAACTTTCTTTGGGTCAGCAAAGGAATCTGGCAATTGATTAGCTAGCTTTTCAAATGTATAATCTTATGGACCTCTGATTCTCATGCCAGAGTCCGAGGATCTTGCCAATTTAAGGATGTTTGATTCCATGATATTTCTTTTATATCTTTACCCAGCTTGTTCGTCTCTCCACCTAAAGTAGGAAATTCGGATTCATTAAAATGACAATCCGCGTATCTAGCCTTAAATAGATCACCCGTAGTTGGCTCTAGATACTTAATAATGGTGGGAGAATCAAATCCAACATATATTCCCATCCTCCTTTGAGGTCCCATCTTTGTTTCTATGTGGTGGAGCAATCGGTACATATATGGCACACCCGAAAGTCTTTAGATGGGATATGTCTGGCTCATGACCCATAAGTAATTGGGATGGTGAATATCTATGTTCACTAGATGGCCTTATGCGTATAAGTTCTGATGCATGTAAAACAGCGTGTCCCCAAGCGGCTACTGGGAGCTTCGACCTCATGAGTAATGGTCGAGCTATCAATTGAATTCGTTTAATGAAGGATTCCGCTAATCCATTCTGTGTATGTACATGTGCTACGGGATGTTCCACACTTACCCCCATGGACATACAGTAGTCATTAAACGCTTGGGACGTGAATTCACCGGCATTGTCTAGACGTATAGTCTTAAGCGGAAAATCTGGAAAGTGGGCTCGCAGTCTTATTATCTGGGCCAATAACCTAGCAAACACTTGGTTTCTAGTAGATAGGAGACAAACATGCGACCATCTTGTCGATGCATCAATGAGGACCATACATATGTCTCCTTGTATCCTTTCCAGAAATTTTAAGGTCTCTTTATTTACCTTAGCCGGTGATGGCCTTATAATGAGTTTCCCTTGTGAACATGCTTCACACGTGAGATTCTTAGGGATAACTCTTTTCTCTCTTAGGGTGTGCCCCTTTGAATTAGTTATTAGTTTACGCATCATACTATGACCCGGATGGCCAAGCCGGTCATGCCATAAAGTGAATTTCTTGATGAACTCTTTGTTCATTGCCATATTAGCTTCGATCATATCGATTTTAGCATAGTAGAGACCAGTGGATAATGCGGGTATAGTCTCTTAGGACTTTCTTATGTCCTTGGGTGATCTCAATTATATTTAGGAATTCTTTGTTCCCTTCACCCTTTGTTTCAATATGGAAACCATTCAATCTTATATTTTTGAAACTTGACAAGCTCCTCTTCGAGCTGGGTGAATATAGGGCATCGCTTATTTCAAGATGCGTGCCCTTTGATAAAAGTATATGGGCATGACCATGGCCCTCAATAAGACTAGCTATACCCGCTATGGTGCTAATATTGGCATTTTTCATTATGAGATTTAGGAAAATATCTCTTATCTTTTGTGTGGCTCCACTATCCACCACAATTATGTTCTTGTCCTCGGCCATTTCTTATATGGACAAGAATCATGTTCTAAACATAAAATAATATAAAATAAATTCAAGCAAATAACAATCAATGAACACATAAAATGCAAAGAAAAACATAGAGGTTTTGATGTCGAAGTAAAATTTATCAACTTGATTCTTTTATGCAATCAGAAGTTTCATACTCTATTAGATCATCTTGATCATGTTCACCATCTTTATATACCAAATGGGCTTTAGGATTCTTCCCTTTTACACTCTCTTGATAGAGGTCACAACGATGTTTGGAAATCCTACATATCTTAGCCCAATGGTTTCCCATTCCATATCTATGGCATACTCATTTGGTCGAGTGTTGTGGTTTGGGAATACCACATCGTCCTCGCCCTCGACCACGGCCGGAATTGGGTCTACATCCACGGTTAAAGTGGTTCCCACGGCCGGATGAGTTATAGTGGCCACAACCACGTCCTTTCAATACCACATCTATGGCATACTCATTTGGTCGAGTGTTGTGGTTTGGAAATACCACATCGTCCTCGCCCTCGACCACGGCCGGAATTGGGTCTACATCCACGGTTATAGTGGTTCCCACGGCCGGATGAGTTATAGTGGCCACAACCACGTCCTTTCCATCCACCACGGTCACGGCCGTGTGGTCTATCACTTTAGACGTGGTTAGATTCTTTGGATTCTTTCTTATCCTCTGCGGCCTTATTGGCATTAGGTAATGGGGTTAATCTATGAGGTCGTAACTCACTGTTTTTTATCAGTAAGTCATTATTTTGCTCATCTAGCAATAGACTCATCCACGGACTTATAGTCCTGGAT